TCAGTTGTCACGAGTGCTGTTCGCAGGTTCAGTTGTGCGTGGGATCCCCAGCGTGGCCTGCGCAGGGCCAGGAGCTGCGCTCGGTGATGCTGCTGGGTCCCTTCCATCTCAGCACATTCTGTGACTTTCTGTCACAGGCACCGACCGGGGGGTGAGAACTCTGCCGGCCGCACATACACGGATTCACCGACACACGCCAAGGGAGGGATCGCTGCCAAAGCAGGTTCTGCATCTCCCCCATCACCACAGGTAGAGGCTGTCCCAGTGACATCCCCTGGCAGGAGGCAGCAGCGTGCCGGGTAATGCTGCTGCCCCGCGGGGAGCGGCGGCTGTGTCCTCGGTGCTGCTGGTGCTCTTGCTGCTGCTTGCCGGGCGTTGCCCTTTGTGTATAAATATCTAAAGGGAAGGTGTCCAAGAGGATGGAGCCAGGCTCATCTCGGTGGTGCCAAGCAATAGGACAAGAGGCAATGGGCACAAACTGACCTGCAGAAAGTTCCACTAGGGTATGAGGAAGAACTTCTTTACTGTGGGGTGACCACATCTCTCTCTCTCCACACTCCAGAGAGACGTGGAGTCTCCTTCACAGGAGATATTTGAGAACCATCTGAACACAATCCTGTTCTATGTGCTCTGGAATGGCCCCACTTGAGCAGGGAGGTTGGAGCATAAGACCAACTGTGGTACATTCCAACCTAACTCAGTCTGTGATTCTGTGATTTAGGTTTTTTATTTTTCTGGTATTCTTGGCACACTAGGCTGCAGGGCATACAGGCAGAACAAAAGCATTCCACCCTCAGGACTGGACCTTACAGACACCATACTAACAGCAGGCACTCACCAGCCACAGGAAGAGCAGCTATCACAGCAAGACTGACGCAAACAGTGATTATTGCCTGCTGGTCTTCCAAACCTTTGGTAGTGGCAGTTTAAAACCTTTCCTGTTCCTCTCTCATTCACTAAGTCTTCTCTTGTTCTCTGCATCTCCTGCCTTTGTACAAAATCTTGCCTCAATCATTTCTTAAAGCACATCACATTTCCTTCTCTTATTTTTTTTTCTTTTTGTCTTATGAAATGTTGCCAGATGCTACCTGCCCCTCCATCTTGACCATGTCATCCACCTGATTGCAGTGTCTGGCAAATTTTGCATAGAACCAATCACAAAATCATAGAATGCTAAGGGTGGAAAGGGGTCTTTGAAGATTATCTAGTCCCAAACCTGCTGCCCTGTGCAGGCATACCTCCCATCAGACCAGGTTGCTCAGAGCCCTATTCAACCTGACCTTGAACACCAGCCAGGGCTGGGGCATCCACAACCTCCCTGGATAACCTGCTCCAGTGCCTCAGCACCCTCACAGTAAAGAACTTCTTCCTAATATCCAGCCTAAATTTCCCCTTTCAATTTGGAACTCCACGTCCTATCACTACCATTCCTGACAAAGAGTCTCTCTCTGGCTTCCCCACAGGCCCCCTGGATACTGGGAGGTTGCTGTGAGGTCTGAAGAGCCCCAGCTTTCTCCGCCTGCTGTGCCTGGGAAGAGGGTGTGGACATGACAGGAGCTCATCACTGCCTGCTTTGAGCTGACAGTTCACCGAAAACATGGCAGGAGACAGGTCAGGTTGGGCAGCGAGCAGGAACTGGAACTGTAATCAGATTAAGGGAAGTGTCACACACCTCTGGCTCCAAGGCACAACCTGGCATCTCTCCTCCTCCACTCTCAACCCAGTCACCCATCCAGTCAACTTCTTGAAGTTCACACAGGGTCACAGTGAAAGGTGAAAGCTTTGTCTATATTCAGCTCAGGCTTCGCTGTGCCGAGCAGGATGTTCACAAGATCCCATCTCTGAGGCTGTCAGCAACCTGAGAGTCCATGTGAGGGAAGGACTTGCCCATGGTGTAACCTGCTAACAGGAATCCTACCTGTGAAGACTTCTGCACTGGTTCCAGAAGCACCCACCCAACATTGCTAACTGCTGGATCCTATGACAATTCACCGTGACTCCAAATTGCCTGGCATCAAAATTGCTACTTAAATCAGCAACTAACATGGAACCAATTAGCAATGGACAGTTCATGCTGTGAAAACCACAAGGTCACTTCTTGGTAAAAGGACAGCTGGATGTAACTAGCTACAGTAGCAGCAAGGAAAAAATAAACTTGGGAGGGATAGTAGCAGCCAGCAATGCAATGGTGCTTTAGGGAAAGGGAAATCCCATTTTCAGATGAAGTAGCAATACCCCGAGATGCAGTTACTCAGTTTTATTCTGGTTTATCCAACACAAACAATGTCTCAGGTGAGGAGACTGTAAAACAGGAATAAAAATTACACATGGAAGAAAATACAGCATATCAGGAGGTGTTGAAATCATTTTAACTGACTTTGGTTATTGTAAGGGACAATAGTAATTGTTTCCTGTGTCTTCCAGAGGAGAATGAGCACAAATAAAGTTACTAACAGAGTAGACATTTCTCATCCCTTCAGCTGGATGAGAGGGAAAATTTCTTGATATCAAAGAGAAAAATTCATGTAGTTCTTCCTCACTATACATATTAATAAACACATCAGAGAATAATCAGGCATGCCTTTGAACACAGGTATATCTAATATGCACAGCACAGTGACATAGAGCAAGTAGACAAAAAGTCCCTTCCAGGCCACCATTTCAATGAATCTATGTCATTGATTTAGAAGAAAACACACTCTGATATAGTAGAGATTCTGGATTTTTGGAAAACTTTGTAAAATTAATTCAGAAATAATTTTTTCAGTGCCAAAGAGAGGTTGAAGTGTAAGAGTGCAGTGGAGAGAGATCAGCACAGTGGAGTCCATCATATCCTGCATACCAGTATTTCACTGTAGGCAGTACAAGTAGGATAACAGTTGTTACCTCAATACTGGGAATGTCACTAGTCATAATCACTTTAAACCATAAAAAACAAGACCACTTAAATATCAAGGAATAATACTGTACAAAGTATGCGCAAGGCTCAATAGGACTCAACATTCCTATGGTACCCAGGTGTTTGCTTTTGGTTTGGGGTTGTTCAGGGTTTTTCAAATACTGTGGGTGTAGAAGTAAAACAAAATGCCCAGGTGGATTAATTCAGGGCTTCTGCAGAAACCAGAGCAGTCTTGGCAAAGGCAGCACTCAGAGAACAACTTAGGTCAGAAATAGCAAAGAAAACAAGCTCATGATGAATCTTGGGTCACTTGAAAGGTTGAGGGAGCTGGGCCTGTTCAGCTTCGAGGAGAGATGACCAAGAGAGGACCCCATCGAAGTGTATGAATATTTAAAGCAGGGGTGTCTGGGATGTTCTCAGTGATGCCAAGCAACAGAAGAGGCCGATCATCAGAAACTGATGCATAGGAAGTTCCTCTGGGATATGAGGAAGAACTTTATTGTGTGGGTGACTGTGGACTGGAACAGATTGCTCAGAGTGGTTGTGGGATATCCACAATCCTGTGCGACGCGCTCTGGGATGACCCCAGCTGAGCAGTAAGGTTGGACAGATGACCCACTATGATCCCTTCCAACATGACCCATTCTGTGATTTTCATGTGTGAAACCTGCTGACCCAGTTTCCCCAGCTCTTCTAGCAAAACAACAACCAGGTCTGGGCTCTCCTGCTTACCCAGGAGTTGACAATGCAGCTGTACACAGCTTTTAAGAACCAAGTGTTTTCAAAACACAAAAACTGTTACGAGCAGAACACAAAAAAGTTGGGAAATAGACCAACAGAGCTAAAAGGGAAACAAGAATTCCTGATTACTGACCTAGAAAGCAAGCCATGCAACCCCCCTTCCCAGTTTTCCATGCCTGGCAGGGGAATTGAAGACAGATGGAGGAAGCAGACAACAGCCAGGTTTCTCAACTATGCAGCTAGACCTGTAAGGAGTATGTGTAAGACGCAGATTTTGTCAAACAAGGATTGATCCATCCCAATGACACTAAAAACCCCCCTACTTGTAGCTTGAAACTCTTGGGAAAAGCTACAGCTGAAGCTCTTGTTGGTTTAATCATGCACATTATGATAAAACATCTTCAAAATCGCCATTGAGATTTTTGAGAGGCTCCACTTCAAAGAGAGCATCCATTCTTCCAAATTAAAGATACTCCATCAATTTTTAAAATTGGCCCAAGGCTGGTGCGTAGCATTGGACATCAGATTTTGAAAAATCAAAAAGCTAATGTTAGCCTATGTGCATACAAAATATCCCATTGTTTATACAAACGATAAAAGACTTATGTGTACTTGATTAGGAAACATGTTAATTTTCCAAAGATCCCAACAATACATTACTTATAAAAAACTTCTCAGTGGCAGTGAATGTATGAAATGCTACTAAGATACTTTCCCCTGTAAATAATGATAGCAGAAACATTTCCTTGCACTATTATTTACCTCGTTTGTTGAACACAATATTTTTTCCTTGCATTTTTGCTTTAATGTAGTTTGGTATGAACAAACACACATTTCATGCTGGCTCACACAAATGAAAATGTCATTGATTACAGTGGTGCTGAGCCTCTTACTTGCTGCCAAAGAGCAAGAATGTGACACATTTCACCCTTTTTCACCTCCATGTGCACAAAAATTATTGATTTGTCAGAAGATATATAAGCATGGGATTATACAACCAAACCCTACAATATGATGCAACCCTACAATAACTCCCAAGTGCAGCCTTTCTCTACATGGATTAAAGGTCAATATGTGTCCTTTCAACCCCCAGAGAGAGCTACCATCCTCATCTGATTTTCCAGGAAATAAAATTTTTGTATGAAAATCTACATGCCTTTGTAAGTCCAGGACACATGTACAAAATTCACCTGCCCCAGATGAATCTCTTTTGTTCCATCCACCCGCGGCGTCAGCAGTGACTTCTTCCTGAGTCTCTTTCAGGCTGGAAGATGGCAAAACTTAACATGATTTTTCTGCATGGTATGTTCTGTGGCACAGTCGAGGCTGCCAGTCTCACAGACAAATGCCAGTTTAAAAATCATGGAACAACCTTGAACAAAATTGCCTTTGAACAAAAAAGGCCCTTCTCCATCTTGTTTAGATCTTTGGTCACAGAGTAACAATCCTATTTGTGTTCAGGAACCTTCCCTGAAACAGGGAGAAACAGTCTGGCTTTCCCAAGCCTCAGAACGACCACTTTGGCTAAAAGCAAAAGTTTAGAGTTCAGTTCATGAACATTTCCTGCATATCAAGAGAAAAAGCACCAAGACATGATTGGATTAAAGGTGACCATTTGTAGAACTGGAGACAAAAAAATACTTTCTCGTAATATATAAGAAAGTCAATTTAATCTTAAAGCTGACAAAACCAGAGGCAATATTTATTAAACCAAATTAGGGTACAGTCATCCCTATCACAGCACACTGATAGAAGTTCTGTATCCCCTCCAGTGACAGGTACATCATGTTATAATACTAGATTGTTTTCAGTGAATCAAAAAACAATACCAGCATGCATGTGGCAGTCTGCTGCTTCTCCCTTCAAGGCCAGGGAGAAATACAATTTTACACCCACGTTTCCTGTCTAGGGCAAAGAGTAACTGTATCACCTTGGTGATACAGTCCCTTGTTTGGGACTGTATCACCTTGTCACAGAACCCCCTACAGAGAAGAAGAACGTCTCACACTGTAGAATCAAAGGCACTCACACCTCAGGAAAGTTCTTGCAGCCATACCACCTGGAAGGGAAAATTTCCCAGGATGACAGAGCCAGTCTGAAAACTCCAGAAAACACTGAAGGATGTAATTTTACCAGTAGAGCTATCTGTCAGACCTTGAAAAAAAAAAAGTCCTTGTTATAACCTACCCCCAGGGCAGATCTAAAAGGAGAGCCTTGCACTGTACGTTTAAGGCAGTTTCTTAATTTATGGCAGGAGGGAAAATGTGGACTCTGTCTAAGCAGTTGTGAAAAATACGCATTTTATTATTGGCTCTTTGCAAATATTAAATTGAATACTATATATATTATGGAGGGTTATTTTGCAATACTGTATTAATCCTTTTTAAGTAGTATGTTAAATATAGTTTTAGGTTACAACATAATGTTAAAATAGACATTTTGTGATGTAAGATATTTTTTACTAGCTCAAGAAAAGGATAAGATAATCAAGAAACTCTTCGCACAGAGGTAACAGTGACATGAAACCTGAAGAGTTACAGCCTCCTTATCAGAAAAGACAAACATTCTTCCACCTTCTCTCCATCTTTATGGAACCACCAGGATTAAAGGGAAGAAGTTGACAAAACCCAGAAAAATTCTTAATTTGCAAGGAAATTATGCATCATGTATGAGATATATAAATATGCAACAGGCTATTGCTTTTAAGGGTTCTTCCTTTGTATACAAGGCATGTTTTTGGCAGCTTAGTGCCCAAAAACATCAATAATTCTTTGCTTTTTATTGTCTCATAGTGTCCTAATCCTCATTGTCAAAAATTTTATTACTCTAATTTTACTGCCACTTTTTATAACTATTTTATTATTAATAAACTTTTAAGATTAAAAAAAAAAAAAAACCGATTGATGTTTTTCACACAGTGATCCCTGAGACTTCTAGACATAGAGAAGAAAGATGGTCAGAGTACGGCTCTGCATGATAGAAAGGGAACACAAGAAATATCTCATACATCACTCAGAACAGTGCATTAATTAAGCATTAACTCATTAGTGAGCATTATGAAAAACAGTGCCAGTGTTAAGAATCCCTGATTGTCTCGGATGGAGCAGAAGTGGGATCAGCACAGCTCTTCTGTAGAGTCCAGCAATAAGAAAGAGCATCTCCTTAAGATCTAACTTCATTTCTTATAGCCAAAAGGAAAATCTGGGCCAAACAGCCTCCTTTATCAGGTATAAAATCTCCCATTGCAACATTAGGATTACATTAAACTACAACATTGTAGCAGTTTGCACAAACAAAAAGCTGGGTTACCGCGTAAAGGCAGACTGAAACTACATGCTTTGTGAGATTCCTGATAAAAGCTCTGGGGAAAAGGACTAGAGATGGTAAACAACAATTTTATATGACTAATCCAATATAATCCTATGCTGGGTAAAAAAGCCATCTGCATGGATTCCCACTGAAGTGCACTTTAATAACAGTGCAGCAAGCCTCTGGCTGTCACACTGAGGAAATGCTCTTTCGCACTCAGAATAATAATTGCAAAAGATTTCTTCCTTTTTCTTTTTTTCTTCACCCCTCTGTTTTTATTAAAGCTGTTATACACTTGTCCTCCCATTTTATCCCCTGTTAGGAGATCGTCTATCAAACCAAAGAAATGACAAAGATCCATCAAGTCCGTGAAGTGCCAAAGATCCGCACTGGAGA